TTTTTATTACCTAACCTAACCACTAACTAACCCTACTAACCCTAACTGCTAACTAACTAATCCTATCTAACCCTAACCATTAACTAATCTCACCCTACCCTAACCATCAAAATCGCACATATCAAATAATTGTAACCAACTAACATGATACACAATAAAACTAATAATGATTCCAGCTTACCAATAGTAATATTGAAAATGATGCACCAATAATGACATCGATGAATCAAACCAACAAAGATCAACAAGCGAAATACTAGAAATGATGGTTCCATGAACAACAACTAGATGCCTGAAAAAAAAAATCAGTTAATCACGCCACAGATAGCAATACTAGCAACAAAAAAACCAAAAATACGATTCTAGTAGTGAAAAATAATAACTAAAATGATGCTGAAATAATGAACAAAGACTAACAACACCAAACAAGATTACATTTGCGAAACTCCAGCAATGATACCTAAAAAGATACTATGGATATTTATGGTATCATCCTTTATATCGCTCCTGAGGTTTTGATAGGCCAAAAGTTTATAGAAGCTGCTAATATTTATAGTTTTGGGATCATTATGTCAGAGATGTCAACTGGACAAAGACCTTTTGATAGTTATCAATTTAATGATGATCTTGCAATAAAGTTTTGCAATAGATTACAACCTCGGATTGCTATATTGAATTAGCTAATCAATACATAGATTCTGATCCAAAAAAACAGTCTAGTACTTGGGATATTTATTGTTATAATTTTAAAGAATGAAATGAAATCATGGAAAGCTCAGATGATACAAATAAAATTATAAAAGATATACCAACACCACAAATCGACAAATCAGACAAGCAAAAATCAACAAGCAAACACCAGAAACAGAGAACGCTTAAAGCCAGGTCATCACGAGCTTACCTGATTTTTGACTTTTAATTAAAATAGAATTAAAGTTAGATTAAGTAATTCTTATAGTAAAATCGCATTTCCGACACTTTTACTTAGTGAATCAAGACTAGTTTAGATGGTAGCTTTTTATATTTTTTGTGTTTTTTTCTTTGTCATCTTGCTTTGTTTTGTTCGGGCTGATCTGGATAATATATCGGGTAACCCCATGATGTACCTGGCTTTAAGCGAACCCAGAAACGACAGTTCCATGAACTAGCTACCTGAAAAAAAATTCAGTTAATTATGCCAAAAACAAGAGAAACCACCAGTAACAATCTTGTAATGGCAATACCACAGCAGGAAACAAGAAACGCAACTTAATTCTACTAATAGTAACTCTAGTAACATGACTCTATTCTACTAATGGCACTCTAGTAGCATGACTCCCGTAACAATAGCTCTAGTAACGGTGACTCCAAAAGGCTCTAACTACGATCTAAGAATGACGCCTGTAACGATGATTTCAATACCGCGATTCCAGTAACGATGATCCAAGAACGATTCGAATAACAACGCTCTAATAATGATGATACCAGGAACGACTCATGATCTATAAGTCTGAAAAAGGAAAATAAATAGGGTTAGTAAAATGTCTACACAGGCTAAAACAAAAAAAAGAAAATAAACAATGATCAGCATGGAAAATCACTGCTTATA